TTTTTCGAATTCAAGATGGCGATCGATTTCTATTGAATTTGGTATGAAAATCTATTTAAAAAGCTACCAATGGTAAGTTGCACATTTGGTATGATTTTGGAATCTGTCTGCTAAAATTGTCTTACGGAAGGAATTAATATGACAAGATCTTTGGGATCAATGTGAGAATCGTATTATTGAAAATACTATCTCAATAAAAGTTTGATATGATGAAAATTTAGGTGTCTCGTATATCTGCAAATAAGATTTATAGCTCGCCCAACTATGTAAATTTCCCTATTGAAATCTCATAAGTGGACCAGAGCAGGATACCATCTCCTAAGTGTCCAGGTATCTCCGATCCCTCCTTTTGATCAATCAACCTACAAACAAAGCGAAGCGAAGTTCAGTCAAAGAGGAAAATATGATATGATATTGAAATCCAGTTGGCTATGTGTAATTGATGCAATATATTTATTTCTTTGAGCATAATGTTGTATAAAGTTTATCTTTAATTAGGAGGACGAAGTCTATTTCAGGTACAAGGATTGATATCTATATAGATATATGTCATGTCATACTACTGTACTAGTATATATTTGATTTTCTGATTTAGACTGACTGACTGACGTTTAAATTAGAAGTTGCAAGAATTAAGGATTCAATCCTAATTAATTGTCGGTCATTGCTCTTAATTTATTCATAGCAATGCGGGATGATACTATACAATATTATGCTGAAAAAACAACTCCCCACTGCCCGTCGCATAGTCGTCGTCTCACAAGCATTTTGCAGCCACTGTAACGCTAAACACCACCACCCCATCAAGTTCAACCTTCCATGGAGCCGTGGCTTCAATTATTGGGCCTCCGCCATCAAGAAAGCCGCTTCCTCCTCTTCGCCTCAGGAAGCCCTCCGCCTCTACAACCGCATGCGCCGCCTGTCCCTCCCTCCCGACACCTTCTCCCTCCTCTTCGCCCTTAAATCCTGCACCCATCTCTCCCCACAAACCCTCACCCTTCTGCGCCACCTCCACGCCCACCTCCTGCACCTCGGATTTTCATCGCACGTGCACGTTGCCACCTGTCTCCTCTCCGCCTACGCCCCCGCCGTTTTCCACGACGCCCGCCTCCTGTTCGACGAAATGCCCCACAGAAACACCGTCACCTGGAACGTCATGATCACCGCCTACTCCCGACAACAGGGGGACCTCAAAACCGCCCGCGTCCTGTTCGACGAAATGCCCTTCAGAGACCAGTCCTCATGGTCCACCATGATTGCTTCCTATGTCGAGCGATCCCTCTGGAACAATGCCCTTGCACTCTTTCGCCAAATGACACACGGTGAACTGTTAAATCCCGATCGACTCACTGTGGGCCCGGTTTTGTCTGGATGCAGCCGGATGGGCTCGGCCGGGCTAGTATTTGGAAAATCCATACACGGGTTTATTTTCAAGAACAGGTGGGAGCTGACTGTGGAGATCGGGACTTGTCTTGTCGACATGTACGCAAAGTGCGGGCTTTTAAACAAGGCCCTTTCGGTTTTTGAGATGATGGAGAGCAGCAATGTGGTGACGTGGACATCACTTATCTGTGGTGCAGCTCAGCACGGTTACTGCTCAGAAGCTCTCCAGATGTTTGAGAAAATGAGGGAACAATGTGTGGAGCCGAACGAGTTTACCTTCACTGGAATACTCACAGCCTGCGTGCAGGCTGGGCTTGTGGACGAGGGCCGCATGTATTTCGGGCTTCTTCAGCATCAATTTGGGCTGAGGCCCACAATTCAGCACTATGGATGCATGGTGGACCTGTTTGGCAAAACGGGACTGCTAAGAGAGGCGTATGAGACCATCAACAAGATGCCGTTTGAGGCGAATGTGGTGATATGGGGTTCGTTTTTGTCGGCTTGTAGGCTGCACAAGAAGTTTGAGATGGCAGAGAAGGTGATGGACAAGGTGTTGAAGATGGTGAGGCCGGAGAACGATGGTGGGGTTTTCTCACTTGTGTGTGATCTGTACGCGTTGAACGGTAAGTGGAGTGAGGTGGAGAGAGTGAGGGATTTGATGGTCAGCAACAATGTAAGGAAGGTTAGGGGATCGAGTTTTGTCCAAAGTGGAGACCAGTGATCGGCTGATAATAGGTTAAGCTCTCAATGCAAGGTGAATAGAGATGAATGATTGAATTCTGCTGATATTCTTTTGTTCATGTTGCTATGAGGGCTCATTTGATTCCATAAAAGCTAAGGAAAAGAGTCCATATGATAAGTGCACGAAAGGCTAAAACCCGCGGGTTGTGACGGAGCTGCCGTTCCCTACTTCGAAAAAAAAAAAAGAGAATAAAAAAAAAAAGAGAAAAAAAAAGAGAGTTTGGAGATTGAGACATTTAGACTTTGGCTATAGACGAAAAGAAACTGGACTTGTTAGCAAAGAGAGGGGTGTCATGAGTTGCATTGATCGGTGCATTCGTTATAGAGATTGACAAACTATGGTGGTCATTTGAATTGATACTTGATATGTTTGCGTTCCTAAAATGATTTCATCTTGAGTCCGGATAAATTAATTTGAGTTGTTTGAATTATGCACTTATGTGAGAATTGTGAGGCATGAGTAAAGTTCCACGTACTTGTTTTCTTGTCCATCTACGTGATTATAGTACTAAGTTGCTTGGGGACAAGCAATGATTTAAGTTTGGGGAGATTTGATTAGTCGGGAAAAGTGTGTATTTTATATATTTATTAGCGTATTTTTATACGCTTAAGTTTATCGCACATTTATATTTTTCGACTTATTTATTTATTAGATGGATTATAGTGCTTTGATATTTTTTATGTTTATTTTCAGGATATTGGAGTATTTTTATAGATGACGAGACGTTGAAGGAAGATTGAAGTAGGCAATACGGGGAGTCCCATACTCCGCCCAGGCACCCCATACCAGTCCAATACTGGCTCAAGACCTTTTCAGTTTTAGGCCCAGTTATTATTATTTAAATAAAGACCCATGGCCTTACATGAGCAAATTAATGGAATAAGTGGGTCTTATCTTTGCCATCACATGAGAGAGTCACGCAGGCCTGGAAGAAAATTTGGAGGGCATCAGGGGCCCACCCTTTTATTTATTTATTTGCAAGAGACTTGGAAAAGGGAAAATATTACACGCAGACCATACAAAAGCCAGCCGCCAGGGAGAAGAATTATTTTTACGCAAGAGGAGAGAGCAGTTTCACGGACAGATACGCGAGCAGAAAACGAGAAGCCAGATCAATCGCGGAGGGAGACCGCACCCGTACACGAGGGAGATAATTAATCTCTCTTTTTTATCTTTTATTTCTTTTATTTATTATGTTAGAGTAGTTTTTATTTCTAGTTCCGGGAAAGTTGAACCTTACGACTTGACGATGTTTGATTGATTTATATGGTTGATGATTTTAAAATCTGTTTGGAATTGCTTGTGTTATTTTGAATAATTAACCATGATGTGTTGAGTCTTATTTAGATTGATCGCCTAGATTAGGCTTTACATATCTACACCTGAATTAGGCCTTCAATCCGTAATTGTTGATGTGTTTAATTCGCAAGTGGTATCCGGAAGATGGTAACTACCGGGGATAACACGGCCTATTTAAGTGAACGAACGTGGTTGAGTTCACTACTTAGTCTAGCCTATTTTTCTAATACGTAAAGCGGCTAATTGTATTAAATCTTGAAAGCGTCTTTCTGGACTGTACAAGAAGTCAGGTCTAATCGTAGAGCGTCTCGTGGTTAGATTAAAAATAAGGAAAAATTCGGGTAACAGACCGTGTCGTTGCCTAGGGCTAGTAATTTCATAAGATAGCGAGATTTGATACCAAAGTTGATTAGACGAGTCAGTCGAGGGGTAGACGGAACCGTGAACTAGAAATTTCTCTTATTTATTTTATTTTATTTTTATTTTCATTGTTTTGATTTCATTCTTAGATAGATTAGTTATTAATTCAAAATCCCCCCTTTTATTGCTTTCATAATAAATTCAA